CGCCAACCTGTTGCCCGCCCCGCCGCCGCCTAAACGGCCAAAAAGATATTAGTCGGCGCGGCCGCTCGCCGTCATCATCGTCATCGTTAGCGTTGTCGTGTCCATCTGCTCTTATTGTCCAAACGCAAATTTATTGGCGCGGTTTCACTGTCGACTGTTGTCAACTGCTGCCTGTGGGCGTGTGTTAGTGCAGTGTGTGCCTGTTTGTGTAGTTGCTTGCGTTTTGGGGCGTGTGTGTGTGTGTGTGTGTGTATGTGTGTGTGTGTGTGTGTGTGTTTGTGTTTTGGTGTGTGTGTGTGTGTGTGTGTGTGTGTGTGTGTGTGTGTGTGTGTGTGTGTGTGTGTGTGTGTGTGAGAATTAATTCGATTGGCTTTTAAAAACGGCATTTTATATTTCGTCGGGTTGTCTCTGTGTGATATTACAATTGGTTTGATGAACTGAAATCTTTGTGTGTGATAAATCTGCACAGAGCACAGAAATCAGGCAGGGGGCAAATACTTTTTCACAACACTGTATGCTCGTACAGGTATGTGTGCAAATCTTTGTCGATTTATAATAAGCCCTCAGTGTTTCATTATTTTGACCCACTTAAAACATAATCTCCCAGAAAAAAGCTCTCCGTATGTATTGTGCATACACACACATATTCGTTATCTACAGTATCTATCTATCAGGCCTAGGCTCCACATCGTGGTGTCAGTTAAAATAAATAATAAATACTTATTTTCAACTGCCCTTGTTTCGGGTGTCGGAAGTGCTGTAGTTCAAGGTTAAATACGAAATGCATGCAGTATTCTTACGAGCTGATGTAATGCTGACATATTGTTCATGTTTTATGATAAAGCACTTTATTATCCGTTTTATGCGTTGCAAATAATTTACCTACGTTTGTATTCATTCTATTCACTCGATCAGATATTTTTTGTTTGTCGTGCTTGCTGCGGCTATGAGTGAGGTTGATTTCTTCTTCCAGTCGTGGGAGGAGCAACAATACAGCAGATTTACCGTGAGCAGACGTGGCAGCGAATGACGTCATCAAAGTGAGTCTGTGGTTCTTTATGGGAAATCAAACTGATCCAGCTAGCAGGTGAGAACCTAGACTTTGCTTGTTGTATTAACAATTTCTATAGACCTACTGTCAACAAGACGTGCTCCCCTTAACTTGAGTCTAACTGTAAAAACATCTTCAGAACTTGACTTTCCTTCTGCTTTTTCATGAATAGCCGTGTATACGTGTACTGTACAGCTGATCTGAACAGTAGTTCAATTGAATTCACTCGTGAAAATGTGTTCATGATGAAGCTGTGAATTGGAAATAGCGATGCTAATGGGACCTCGCTCAACGAATCATAATCTTTAAACAAAGTAAAACAATTCCGTTATGTTAAAAACAGATTTATAGCGAACTTGGAAAAGAAATCCCCCGTCATTACTTTGCATTTAGTATTCAGTGGATATGGTAAGTCTACATAGACCTGTTTAAATGCCAGGTATTTATGATAGATGTAGCGTAATTTATTTCAGAAACTTTACTGCCGTTAAAGGAAGTAAAAATAAACAACTGAGAAATGAGGTTGCACAAATGTGCACACTCTCTTAAAACTGAAGATGTAGCTGTGTTAAGAATTAACCATCGAATTAAAACTGATGGGAAATCGGAATAGAGATGAAAACCCCTGTCACAGTTTGCCTTGAGCCACAGGTTCTTCTACCCAAGAGGCGGGTAAACAAGCTAGCTCATGGGAGCTCGTTCAACAGCTGGTTGAGTCGAAGCACCTGTGGCCAAGGTTTTTTTTTTCTTTCTAACTGAATTTGAACCTCTGAATGCGAGTTAGCACATAAACGCAACCATTTAAAGTGCCTCCGATGGACTCCAAATTAAGCTAGATGTTCTAGTGGGCTTTTCCCGACATTTTCTGCTCTCTCAGGGCAGAAGCTTGAATGTTTTGTTCTAACAATGACTTGTATTTGTAACTGTTTATAATTCCCTCAACATTGACTAAGTTACTGTGGAAGAAAAACAGCCTCAAAGCATTATGCTGCCGCCACCATGATTCTGTTTTTTTGTTTTGTTTTGTTTTTTGTACAGTGAGCAATGTTCACTGTTTTTTGTTTGTTTGTTTGTGTTTTGTGCTGTGAGCAGTGTTTTGTTTATGCCAAACACAGCTGTGGGAATTATGCTCAAAAGGTTCCACCTTGATTTCATGGGGCCATAAACATTTTTCCACATCGAAATGTAGTCAGGCTTGGGTGTAGGATAAGGCAGGCTTCCTTTGTGTTCCCATATCCCAGACATATGAAGGTGACAGGAGACTGTCACGACATGGACTAGTGATTGACATTTTGTCGGCCGGGCCGGTTATCAGGGCAGATATTCAGCATTTTGGTGCACATCAGAATCATCTCATATTTCAATATATGATAATGAAAATAACATGCAAAATATATTACAGTTTCCGTGGACGCTGAAGGTCAAGGAGATGATGGAAGAGAGTGGGATTGAGACTACACCTCCAACCAGCCCTACACCACCAATGAGTGCAGCTGCTTCAGTCAGCCCTCCGCCAATGAGCGTAGGTAGGACATCTGTCTGGATTATGTTCCTGAGCATTTTTACCAAATTTCACAAATGAAAGCTCTTTGTTGCTGTCGCTCTTTCTGTCTGTCCCCCGATCTCTATCTCTCTCCGGGGCTCTAGAGTAACTTTTTATACTGGTTGCACTGGTGCGCCCAACTGTTTTTCTTGGGTGCACCAGCGCTAAAGTTAATTGCGACAACATTGTTGACCGCATCACATTCCCAGATCTGCCAACCTCTAGAAATTACTTCCTGAACCGTTTATTTTAATTTTCCTAATTTTAAAATTCAGTCGAGAACATTATAATGGGACTGTGCGTGGAAGTGTTTTACTCTATATGTGTTTAATATTAGTGCGTCAACAAATAAAATACTCAGAATTAATTACTTAGCAGGGACATTGCATGCCAGTGTTAATGGTCATTTTCACATGCTCTTTTCAAAGACCAAAGTAAAATCAACTGATGAAAATATCACTCACCATAGCTAGCTACACTTCAACGACCTGTGACCATTTGTATTCCAAGTATTAATTAATATTATGACAGTAATGACACAGTGCAGTGTCAACGCATTTGTTATCCATCCATCCATTTTCTGAACTACTTAGGCCAAACAAAAAAGATAGTGTGTTTCTGGTAACATGAAATTTCAGCATAGGGTGGGTAGGTGGGACAAAGTTTTTTTTTTAATCTTTTTTTTTTTCCATCAAAAATTGAAACAAAATAACTATAAAACAATCACTAAAAAAAAAAATTACATGGACCCCGCCGCTCCGCGGCCGGCGCTGCCGCCTCCTATTTAGTTTTCTCCCCGCTCCGGACTCGGGGGGCCGGGGCGCGCCGCCGCCTCCGCCGTCCTTCGCCCTCGGTTTTTACTCGGCCCATGGTGTTCATCAAATAGCTCG